TCATTCACAGCAACTTCATGCCGAAGGTACTATATTTATCCCCATCTCAGAGATGGGTCACTAATAAAAAGAAAAGTTACATAACTTTCTCCAGCTTAAAGGGGGGGCCAAGAAATGGTGGGGCTGGGATTGGAATCCAGATACCAGAAGGTCTGGCACCTTAAGCTAAGCTTTGCTTGGTCTTCTATGTCTCCCCCAGGGCTGTATGAGAAGTTCTCTAAGGCAGTGGTTCTCAAAATTAAACGTGCATCAGAATCATTTGGAGAGCTTTTTCAACCCAATTGCTGTCAATCTCTCCCCCACTTTAGGCTTCTGATTCAGTAAATCTGGGATGAGGCCTGAAAATGTGCACATCTAACAACTCCCCAAGTGATGCTGATTCTGCCAGTTCTGGAACACTCTTGGAGAACCACTGCTCTAGAGAACAGACTGCATGGAATCACTAGGTTGTAGGATATACTTGCTTTGGCAGCACATAAACTAAAATCGGAAGGCTACAGAGAGGAAATATGCACCTTATCCTGTGATACTGGCAAATTGCTCTCAAAGTGATTATACCTACTTACACTCCCACCTGTAGTAGATTAAAGTTCCATTTCTGTTCTTTTTTTTTTTTTTTTAAAGATTTTATTTATTTATGTGACAGAGAGAGACACAGCGAGAGAGGGAACTCCCTGGGGGAGTGGGAGACAAGCAGGGGGAGTGAGAGACAAGCAGAGGGAGTGGGAGAGGGAGAAGCAGACTCCCCGCTGAGCAGAGAGCCCGATGCAGGGCTCGATCCCAAGACCCTGGGATCATGACCTGAACCGAAGGCAGACGCTTAACGACTGAGCCACCCAGGTGCCCCTAAAGTTCCATTTCTGTACATTCTCCACAACACTTCATAATGTCACTTTAAAATTTTGCCAACCTGGTGGGATTGAAATGATATCTCAATGTGGCCTAAATTTGCCATTTCCATATGAGTGAAATGATTGGCTATTAAATTACCTCTTTAAATTGCTGAATCCTATTTTACCAGTTTTTTTGTTTGGTTTTTAGTTTGTTTCCCTCCCCTTATTTATTTAAAGGAATTCCTAAAATATCTTGGGTTCCAATCTTTTTCATTAGATACTATTTTCTCCCACTTGGTAGCGTATCTTTTAACTATGTTTAAAGTTTTTCTTTATAGTTCACTATTATATCATATTTAGCAAATCCTTATCTAGCTGGAGGTCATAAAAATAATTTTGTTTTAAAAGCTTTGCTTTTTAGCAACTGAGCCTGCCAGTTCTCAGCCACAGAGGCCAGCCCACCAGGCTTGAGGCTAAAGTTCCACCAGTGTGAATCTTTCCCTAACTAAAGCAGCCTTCTGGACAATTTCCCCCGCAAACGTAGCTTAGGGAGGCCAGTTGAGGACTTGGGACCTGACATCAGATCCCATCATCAAATCTCAACAAGCTTCCCCCAGGCGCCCTATACTTCTTTTAGAGTGTTTACTTCTTTATAGGGTGTTCATCATCATTTTTTGGTTTATAGATCTATTTCCTTTGCTAGAATCTACACTCCTTGATTGAAAGGACGGTGCTTTATCCATTTTCATATCCGTGGTGTCCAGGACATAATTAGTGTTCAGTACATATTTTCTAATTAAAAAAAAAGTTTTGCTTTTTACACCCAGATTTTATGTATGTTGTGAGCCAGGAACATAATTGTTTGCATAAAGATAACCAGTATCTCAGAACCATAGAGGTAAATAAAAATTATTTTCTCCATTTATAAAAGACAAAGAGATCATTTTCCCCTTCCCTTCTTTCTTAAAGAGTGTTTCCTTAGAGACATAGTGAGTCTGAGTTCTTACCCTAACTTTTGCAACAGAGGCAAATTTCCCTAAGTATTAAAACCCAGTCTCCAGTTGTTATACTATAGCTATATATCTAAGGTCACTGCCAAAGAACCTCTAGATGTGTAAAAACGTGCCTCTGGAATTAGCTCAGGGTCTCTCACAGGATGTACGGGGATTGCCACAAGGTGCAAACCTCTGTTTTTTGAGGAGATAAGAAGTTATTCTTGCTTGTTTCCTGTATATAATGTGTGCGATTCTGTTCTAACTTCAGAGTCACTTTCAAAAGGCTTGTAAATCTGCTAATGCTCACTCAGTAATATAGTGTGTTCTCTTGTCTGTATAAGTACAGAGGGATCTTCTGTTGGCAAGATCGCTGCCTTTCCACAGTGGAACTGCCCAGTCTCACTGATGTGTAGACACCCCTTAAATCTTCGTGTTCCCACATACACATAGGGCTGTTTCTGGGCTTTCTCTTGTTTCGTTGCTCTATTTACCTATCTTTGCATCAGTTTCATACTCTCTCAATTAAGATGACTTTTTCATCAATCCTAATACCTAACACAATTAAGTCCCCTTACCCAACTTGTTCTTCAAAATTGTCTTGACTATTCTTGGCCCTTTACCATTCCTATAAATTTTAGAATCTGCTTGTTAAGTTCTGCCAAAATCTTTGAAATTTTGGTTGGAATTACACTGAATTTATTTATTATTTTGGGAGACCGGACATCTGAAAAATATTGTTTTCCCCTCCATAAATGTTGAATTATCTCTCTAGTTATTCAGGGTTTCTTTGATGTCCTTCCAGACCTTTATAAAGAAAATAATAAAATATTGTTATATATCTTATCTTAGATATATTCCTAAGTACCTTACAGGTTTTATGCTATTGTGGTTTTTGGAAAAATTACTTTTTCTAGTTATTTTTGATGTGTAGAAATGCTGTGGATTGTTTTATGTTGATCTTGTATCCAGCAACTTTGCTGAGCTTTTTATAGGTATAATCATTTGGAGTTGACATTCTTTGGTTTTCTAGGTAAACATGTTTTTATCTCTTCCTTCTTAATTCCTATATAGCAATGAAAGACTTTTCTCCATTTTTTCTTTTTTTCTCCTTCATTTAAAAAAATTTTTTTAAAGTAATCTCTACACCCAATGTGGGGCTTGAACTCACAACTCCAAGAACAAGAGTCACATGCTCTACAGACTGAGCCAGCCAGGCACCCCAAGGCTTTTTTCCTTTAATTCATTACTTTGCTAGATGCCTAGAACAGTGCTTAGCCCATGGTAAACTCAATACAAAGATTTTAAATTACTATGATGGATTAATCTATTTTCTTCCCTGCCCTCCTGGGATAAACCATACTTGGTCATAAGGTATTAATTTTTATATGATTCTGAGTTTGATCTGCTATTTATTTAAATTTTTGCATTTATTTTCATAAACAAGATCAGTCCATACTTTCATCCTCTGATATGAATCTTGAATGTTTTGGGTGTTAAGGTTATATTAATCTCAACAATGCATTGAGTAGCTTTCTCTGTTATTCTATTATTTGAAGAGTTTGTAATAAGATGAGGACTATCTGTTCCTCCAGTGCTTGGTAAAACCTCTGAAACCATCCAGGCCTGGTGTCTATTTGACGGAAATATGTTCAACTCTGATTTAATTTCTTTAATAGTTATGCTTTTTTGGGTTTTCTATACCTTCTCCAGTCAATCTTGGTATCTTAGTTTTCTAAGAAATTGTCCATTTCATCTACAATTTCTAATTTACTTTCACTGAAGGTATTCAGAAAACCCCACCCCAAAAATTGCCACTCTGGCATACTGATTTTAAGTTTAAAAACTTAACTTAAAAAAACAGCAATGCAAAAAGGGCATTCTAACTTTCCTTTCCTTTTTTTCTTTTTTAAGATTTTATTTGACAGAGACACAGCGAGAGAGGGAACACAAGCAGGGGGAGTGGGAGAGGGAGAAGCAGGCTTCCCGCTGAGCAGGGAGCCCGATGTGGGGCTCGATCCCAGGACCCTGGGATCACGACCCGAGCCAAAGGCACATGCCCTACGACTGAGCCACCCAGGCGCCCCGCTTTCTAACTTCCTAAAAGCAGGAGATAAACTCTTAAGTAAAAGGTGCCCTCCCTGCACTTGGAGGAAGAAAGACATTTTTATCACCAGAGGGCGGCACTTCACCCCTCCTCTGGGTGGAGTGAGATGGTGTTACTGCACTCCAGGGCAAGTTGAGGCGAAGAGAAATCTGTACAAACCAACCCCGGTTAAACTAACCCTCATCTTCCCGGTCACTTTCATGATTAACCGCCCTAGCCCAAGTCCCTTTGTCTTGTTACTTTTTCACAATTTACCGCTCAGTCCAACTTTATAAGCGTTGACTCAAACTGCTCCTTTGGGTCTTCCTTTCCTTATGAAGGCTCCCATGTCAACTAAAACTTACATAGATTTGTATGCTTTTCCCCTTTTTAATGTCTTTTGTTACAGGGGCCACAGTCAAGAACCTAGAAGGGAAGAAGGAAAAGGGTTTTTTCCTCCCTTACATCACAAAATTATATAGCATTATCTGCAGTGAGGGCTTTTTTTAAAAATTCTTCTTCTTAATAGTGTTTGAAGAGGAGGTTCCTGTGCAAAGTATCCGTTTAAAAGTTTGGATCTTGGGGCGCCTCGTTCGCTCCGCCTTGGGCTCAGGTCATGGTCCGGGGGTCCTGGGATCGAGCCCCACATCCGGCTCCCTGCTCCGCGGGAAGCCTGCTTCTCCCTCTCCTGCTTGCAGCTCCCCCTGCTTGTGCTCTCTCCCTCTCTCTGTCAAATAAATATTTTTAATTTTTTTTAAAGTTTGGATCTAAATATTATATAAAATATTTATAAACTTACAAATACCATGTTTTGAAACTAAAAACTGTATTCGATTCATAGGTTAAAGAAAAAAAAATCACAAAATATTTACTCCAAAAAACGGAAGTACTACTTATTATATCGGGTGGGATGTAAATTTAGCCTAAGTGCATTTATTTAAAACACACTCACGAAAAATAACTAAGCGTTCCACCCAAAAACCTAGAAAAGAAAAATCAGAGGAAACTAAACCAAAACCAAAGAAGGGGGGAAAAGACAAAAGCACGACGTCGGGGCGCTTTACGGCTGTCGCGCCCACGTGTCTGCGGTTATGGCGGCCGTGGAGTAGGAGAGGCTGGGAGCGGGATACTTGGTGCTGGAACCGGAGCCCAAGCCAGAGCCCAAGACAGAGAGCGGCTGCAACGAGAAGCGGGTGGTGTTTCTCTTCGTATACTGGGGCCACATCCCGCCGCTCTTCCGGCCTGTGCGCGTGCGCAACGGGCTTGGCACCACTGGCGCGGTCCGGCGACTTTTCTGTTAGCCCGTGGGTGGTGCGCGCGGCGCAGGGAGAGGACCTTCAGGAAGCAACGGCCCACGTAGAATAAGGAATACGCCCAGGGGAGGGGCCATGGTCGCCCGCGAGCGCGGGCCTTTTCCGGGAAGGCTTGGAGGAAGTGCCTGCACCTGCTCGGCGTGGCCTGGGAGCTCGCCAGAGTCCAGCCTCTGCCCCGGAGTCCTAGGGACGCGTTTGGGTGGCCGGACAGGGCCCCGAGCGCCCGGCACCGGCCTGGCCTACTAACGCCTGCCCTTCATAGAGCTGCGGGGAAATTGTCGTTTTTTGATTGATCAGTTTCTGATGCGGGTATGTTAAAAATCTTACGCTAGGGCGCCTGGGTGGCTCAGTTGGTTAAGCGACTGCCTTCGGCTCAGGTCATGATCCTGGAGTCCCGGGATCGAGTCCCGCATCGGGCTCCCTGCTCGGCAGGGAGTCTGCTTCTCCCCCTGACCCTCCCCACTCTCATGTGCTCTCTCTCATTCTCTCTCTCAAATAAATAAATAAAATCTTAAAAAAAAAAAAAATCTTACGCTATTGTCGAGATCATGTCAGATTTTTTTCTTACGATTTTGCAGTAGATCACTTGGGGTTATATTTTCAGATACGCACAAGTATCCTTCTGTCCACACCCGGGGTTGGAGTGAGGCACTAGCCTTGCAGGCAGTTTTTTTGTTTTTTTTTTTTTTAAGATTTTATTTATTTGAGATAGAACGCGCGTGAGAGAGAGCATGAGCAGGAGGTAGGGGCAGAGGGAGAGGGAGAAGCAGGCTCCCCACTGAGCAGGGAGCCACTGGCAGGATCCCAGGACCCCAGGATCCTGACCTGAACTGAAGGCAGACTTGTTTGTTTGACAGAGAGAGACACACCGAAAGAGGGAACACAAGCAGGGGGAGTGGGAGAGGGAGAAGCAGGCTTCCCGTGGAGCAGGGAGCCCGATGCAGGGCTTGATCCCAGGACACTGGGATCATGACCTGAGCCAAAGGCAGACGCTCAATGACTGAGCCACCCAGGCACCCCTGAACTAATACTTTTTATCCTTCTGTAACATTCCTCTAGTCCTATTGCAAGTTTTTGCCTAAATTCTACTTTTCTGATATTAATACTGTGACACTAACCTTTTGGTTAAATTTACTTACCCACCTTATTTTGTGTTTTTATCATTTTTTCCTCCTTTCCTTCATTGGATTGATGAGTTTTCTACATTTCCTTTATTTTATTTTTTACTGAAAATTTAGCCTGGATTAGGTTAAGGAAAAAGTCCCTTGGGAAAATATCAGCACCATCTCACAAAAGTTTTTGAGTTTGAATCATTTGAGTAAATGTATTATTTTACTAATGAAAGTGATTACCAGCTCAATAAAATTCCATAAGCATTTGTGGAGTGCCTACCTTGTGTCTTTCATTGTTCTAGGCACTAAATACACAAAAATTAGTCAAAGTACCTGCCCTCAGGATGCCTCCAAAAGCAGATGTTTGTCTCACATTAATCTTTCAGGGCCTCCTTGCCGCATGTGACATTGGTACCCAGTCCTTCCTGGGAATTTTCCATATCCCTGGTTGACAAGACACTAATCTCTCCTAATTTTCCTAATACCGAGAAATTATGTTCTCTGCTCTTGAACGCCTCCTCCTTTGCCCTCTCCTCGATAGTTAGCATTCCTCAAAGTTCCATCCTTGACCTTCCACTCTTCTTTCCATTCACATCTTCTCATGCTTTGAATTACTACCTGTGTCAGTAACTTTAAGATATCTTTGTCTGCTTTAACCTCTACCCCAATAATTCTGACATATATTCAACTGCTGTTGAACATACACTTGAATATTCCACAGACTCCCCAACTTAATAAATCCCAAACTGAAGGCATTATTTCTTACCACTGAAAATCTGTTCCTTTCCTTTTCTCATCTCACATAATGGTCATTTACTGCTACCCAGAAACCCATGTGTCATTCCATCCTCCTTCTGTACTCCCCACAGCCAGTCACAAACTCCTGTATATTTTACTCTGACATTTCTCAGATTTGTCTCCCCCCTTTTCATCCCTGTTAACTAATGACCAAGTTCAAGATGTCATTAATTGTCTCCTTTTTCCCAGTCTTGCTGTTTTCTTATGTGAATCTCTGGTCCCACCGCATCCTGTGCTTTCCTGTCATTACCATATATAAAATTAAGAGTTTCTGACTGTGTCTTTTGACTGTGAGCTCCCTCAGTGTATATTTGTACCCACACCACATAGCATAGTACCTGGTATTAATGCTAAATAAATGTCTCTTGAGCTGAACTAAGTTCTTTTGTCTTAATTTCATTGTATCTTGTTTTAAGGCTTTTAATGCTATTAAAATAATTTTCCTTTTTTTTTTTTAGGAAATAAGATTACCTATATTTGATCAAGGTCTTATGTCCCAAATGTCCTTAAATTACACATGCTTTTCAGAAACATTATTCCTCCACCATCACTCAAGTAATTAGGGGTCAACTCAATATGATAAATAATTTGTCCATTATATTTAATAATTTGATAATATAATTAATAATTTAATAATCCAATATAATTAATAATTTAATAATTATATTTAATAATAGAGATATTGGTATCTCAATTAAAAGTATTACTGTTTGTCTTATTAAAGTGTTACTGCTATTGATTCTCTTGGTTTGGGTTTTGTTACTGTAATATTTCCAGTATTCAGAGAGTTGGGTGGGTCATTTGCCATGAATGTCTGTCCCCGATTTTGTTCTGTCTGTGATCCAATTTTGTATCAAGGCTTTAAAAATTTCCTGCTCAAGATCTGTTAAGATTAATGCTAAAACACTGCACATCAAATTCATGATATAAAAATTAGATTCAGGGTTTTAAGGAAATGATCCTGTTATTACAGAGCGATGAACCAGCTTCCCCTCTTACTGAGCTGTGTAGTCTCTTGCTGCTCGAAGTGTGATTCCCAGAGCTGCAGCAGTGGCATCGTTTGAGGGCTTATTAGAAACGCAGTTTGGGGCGCCTGGGTGGCTTGGTTGGTTAAGCGACTGCCTTCGGCTCAGGTCATGATCCTGGAGTCCCTGGATCGAGTCCCGCATCGGGCTCCCTGCTCGGCAGGGAGTCTGCTTCTCCCTCTGACCCTCCCCCCTCTCATGTGCTCTCTCTCATTCTCTCTCTCTCAAATAAATAAATAAAATCTTTAAAAAAAAAAAAAGAAATGCAGTTTGAAAAACACTGGTATAAAGAACGCTTTATAGAGCATAGTAAAACAGAAACAAAGCAAAGGTTTATGCTACTATTGGAGAAAGGATTCCCAGGATAAAGATAAAAACAGTAAGAAAGATTCACTTGCCTGCTATCAGCATCTCAAGTTTGTGAGTGCCATTTAAGAAGGCCAATACGTAAATAAAGATAATGTTTTGAATGTGTTTGGTTAAGGTTACATTTCCCTGTTCTAGTGGACTTCACACCTTACGGAGCCATATCGCACTATGGATGCCTACAGATGAAGGTGTCCACTGCTAACATCGAGGAAGCAGGAAGGACTCACCAAGCAATGATGCATGAAATTGCTATGCCCAATTAATATCCTCGCAGATACTTTTTGGAACCATGGGATAATGTTTGGTAATGAAGAGTGAATGAGGCTTTTTCTTTACCTTAATGTGAAGACATTTGGTCATTGGTACTTCTCACAGCATGGACACTTGGAGTGGTCGGGACTAGTCCTGAAGGGGATGGGGATAACTTTGTGCCAGAGGGACATGCTGAAAGGCATTACTGCACAGTAGTAAAGCATATGGAGACAACCAACCAGATTCAGTTCCTGGCTTTACCACTTACTAGCTTATGTTGGATGAGTTACTTAATTCTGTCTGTTTCTTTATCTGTAATATGGGGGTGGTGATAGCACCTACCTCATAGGCGTGTTATGAAGATTGCATGGCTTTATATACTTAAGTGCTTAGAACAAAGTGACAAATAGTAAACACTCAATCATTAGAAACAAGGGGCGCCTGGGTGGCTCAGTCGTTGAGCGTCTGCCTTCGGCCCAGGGTCTTGGGATCAAGCCTTGCATCAGGCTCCTTGCTGAGCAGGGAGCCTGCTTCTCCTCTCCCTCTCCCTGCTGCTCCCCCTGCTTGTGCACTCTCTCTGTCAAATAAATAAATAAAATCTTTAAAAATAATAATAATAATTAGAAACAAAACTGCATTGCCTGCCCCATAGTAGGTATCCAGGTGTCAATATTAAGTGTTTGTAAAATGTGCCTATTGTCCATTTACTGCCCCTCAGCTTCAAATTCATCCTTAATTGCTAGTTCTGTGGAAGTAACATGAGCCCTTTAAATTCTTCCCTTCACCAGCTGGCCTGATGTTAAGCTCCGTCATGGAGGACACTGGAACGCATTGCAGCGAGAAGGGGTTCTCCTTCCAGGCTGCAGGTGCTCCTCCCCGGGGGGCTCATGCCGGCCCCACTCCCGCCGGGCTGCAGCTTCTCTGGCCCCCACTCCGGTAGCTCAGGACAGCTAGCAGCACCTGCCCAGGCAGTTTGGTGGCAGTTTGGTGGCAGAATGTCTCCAGCGGGACACCTCCCCGTGAAGAACTTGCCCCCTGCACATTGGAGGGCAGACCAAGGGATTTCTTGGCCATTCGGTGAGCCGCGGCTGTGCCCTCTCCAACACGGTCTGAATCTCAGCTGGGCGGGGAAGGGGGACAGGATCTCTTCCCTTGAAAACTCCACTTCAGCTCTACCAATATCAGCCCTACCCATCCCTATACTCTTTAGAGTTCTGTTTACCTCCTTCCAGCCTATGTCTTGTTATAGTTAATAATTTGATATATTAAACTTACCCTGTTCAAATTTTTTATCAGGTTTCTGTCTCTTAATAAGACTCTCGCTGATAATGAATGAATAAATGGAACTTCAATATTCCAAACTATTCCCAGAAGTTTGTATGTTGCCTATAAGATGAATGACCCAAATTTTTAAAAATGACTGTGTGTTAAATAGCTATACTCTTATCTATGATGAATTAAATGGAGGGGCACCTGGGTGGCTCAGTTGGTTAAGCATCTGCCTTGGGCTTGGGTCATGTTTCCAGGGTCCTGGGATTGAGTCCCTCATTGGGCTCCCTGCTCGGCTGGAAGTCTGCTTCTCCCTCTCCCTCTGCTGCTCCCCCTGCTTGTGCTCTCTCTCTCTCTTCTTCTCAAATGAATAAATAAAAATCTTTAACTGTTGAATCACAGACCTGTACCTCTGAAACAAATAATACATTATATGTTAAAAAAAAGAAGACGATAGTAGGAAGGGAAAAATGAAGGGGGGGGAATCGGAGGGGGAGACGAACCTTGAGAGACTATGGACTCTGAGAAACAAACTGAGGTTTCTAGAGGGGAGGGGGTGGGGGGAGGGGTTAGCCTGGTGATGGGTATTAAAGAGGGCACGTATTGAATGGAGCACTGGGTGTTATATGCAAACAATGAATCATGGAACACTACATCAAAAACTAATGATGTAATGTGATTAACATAACAATAAAATAAAATTTAAAAAAAATTAAATGAAGAAAATAGTAGGTAATGTGTAGATAGTTTTCCTTTTTATGTTTTCAAAAATCTGTGTGAATGTGTGTGGGTTCATATTTGCAAATGCATAGAGAGAGTTCTGGAAGGATACAGAGAACCCAGAGGGGTTATTATCTCTGGATAGAGGAGAGGGATGAAAGGAATGGAGAAGGGGGACTTTCACATTTTTTATTCTATATTTTCTATTTTAAAAATTTACACTGAGTATTTGTTACTTTTATAATTTTTATAATTTTAGGAATTAAATTCTTTGATTTTTGTGACTTTTCATAATTTTAATTAATTTATTTATTTTAAAGATTTTATTTATTTATTTGAGACAGAGAGAATGAGAGAGAGAGAGCATGAGAGGGAGGAGGGTCAGAGGGAGAAGCAGACTCCGCGCCGAGCAGGGAGCCTGATGCGGGACTCGATCCTGGAACTCCAGGATCATGGCCTGAGCCGAAGGCAGTCGCCTAACCAACTGAGCCACCCAGGTGCCCCATAATTTTAATTTAAAAAGTTGGTGATAGAACCTGGTGAGAGGAAAGGGAAGGAAACAGACTATTATTTTTTTTTAATATTTTATTTACTTATTTGACAGAGCACACAAGCAAGGGGAGGAGCAGAGGGAGAGGGAGAAGCAGACTCCCCACTGAATGGGGAGCCTGATGTGGGGCTTGATCCCAGGACCCTGGGATCATGACCTGAGCCAAAGGCAGACACTTAACCTACTGAGCCACCCAGGCGCCCTGGAAACTATTATTGAGCACGTCCTCTATGCCAAACACTTTCCTTATGTTATTTCATTTAATCATGAAAATAACTAGGTAAGAGAGGCATTATTATTCCTGTTTTACCATTAAGAAAATGGGCTCAGAGCGATTAAGTAATTTCTTAAGTTCATGTATTTAGAATTTTGACTGGGCTTTTTGGAGTCCAAAGTGACTCTTGCCAGTCTTGCCAGTGTTTCTCAAACTGGGTTTCATAGGAGGGGGCCTCTGGGTGTGTTCTCAGGGTTCATGAGCTCTACAGACAATTCCTAAATCTTAGTATGTCATCTCAATCATAATCTTTAAATAGACATGTTCTGGATCTTCTGGAAGACCATCTTAAAAGAGTATTTTCAGGACATTTAAATTTTGCTTGTTATGCTAGTGTTGTTATCAAGTGAGACCCTACCTTAATTGTCCTAGGTCAGTCAGAAAAGAACAGACTGGAATTTCATAACACATTCATGCTAAGGGAGGACTCAGTTATATCATTGTGGTTCAAACAAAAAAGTCGTGGGGATAAAGCACTTCTCATTCTGAACACGGTAGTATATGCACATAAAACTCAAAATTTTCATCTTAAGAATCAGTGCTATATTCATGTTTGGAATGATGATGTGAGTTTTGGCCAAACATTAACTATTAATTTAAATTAATATTATTATATTGACATATTCTTGGCTTTGTAGTTGTGTTTTTATGTAAAATTTAAATTTATTTGGGCGTTCATAACTGGTTTCATGTTTATATATCAAGTAACATAGTAAAATAATATAAAGGTCATCATTGAGAGTAAAAATGTTTTCCTTTAAAGGGGCCCATATACGACTCAGATTTGAGAAGACTGCTGTTATATCATTCTGCTTCTCCAGACATAGAAAGGCCATTTAAAAAACCCCTGGGGGCGCCTGGGTGGCTCAGTCAATTGAACGGGTGACTCCTTGCTTTGGCTCAGGTCATGATCCCGGGGTCCTGGGATTGAGCCCCAGTCGGGGCTCCCTGCTCAGCGGGGATTCTGCTTCTCCCTCTCCCTCTGCCTACCCCCTGCTCGTTCTCTCTCTCTCAAATAAATAAATAAAATCTTAAAAAAAAAAAAAGATGCCAGCAGCAAGTCCCTAGCAAGAGTCTGTGTAAGGAGGAGCCATCCTACTCTGAGAAAATAGGTTGTCAGAAAGAAGTCCGTTTGGGTTCTGAAGCAAAATCCGCCAGCTTGCATCTGCCGGACACAAGCGGAGCCTTAGTCTCCATGTACAGAGTAAAAACGCCAGGCCCACAAAGCCCCAGACTGCGGCTTTGAATCATCTGGCTCAGGGCCACTGAGGATGGATGATAGACATTTTTATGGACTCAGCATTGAGTTCTGGGAGCCAGCAGCCACGTCAGCAGCTAGAGAGCTTGCCCTCCTACCTTTGGGTGAAATCCAAGCCTTTTAATTACAGGTAAGTCAACTGCTTCCTGATTTATGCACAGCACTTAGGGAATGCCAATTACTGAGCCCTAACATTAAAATGGCCATTTACGGGGGCACCTGGGTGGCTCAGTCCTTAAGCGTCTGCCTTCAGCTCAGGCCATGATCCCAGGAGCCCCGCATCGGGCTCCCTGCTCAGCGGGAAGCCTGCTTCTCCCTCTCCCACTCCCCCTGCTTGTGTTCCCTCTCTCGCTGCGTCTCTGTCAAATAAATAAATGGAATCTTTAAAAAAATAAATAAATAAAATAAATAAAAATAAAATGGTCACCTACAGCAACAGTAAGATAATGGAACGGGTGATGCCCGTAAGAACAAAATGTAGTTCAAAGTCTCCAGCGGGCACAGACCACTTCCCGGTGCCCAGCCCCAGCCTGTGACGACTGCCAAAGCTACCTGTCCCTCCTTCCCTGCCCTGCTCAGTTTGCCCCCGTCCCTGCCTCCCTCCCCGTCCCAGGCCGGAATCCCGTAGAGCCTCCCACAGGGCACGCGGGACACAGAGGTAGTCCGCGGAAGTCTTTTCTGGAAAGCAGCTGGTTGCCCCGCTCGGTTCCACAGCTGCTCTCAGGCATTGCTTGTTTTTAAATGGCAGAGGACATTGTGATTTTCCGGTGGCCCAAACTGCTTTAGGGAAAAAAGCCCTGGGAACAACCCAGAAGGCCACCGCGGGGTCTCCTCGGCTCTCTCTCTTTCTTACCATCACCAACCGTTCCTTTTTCAAACCCCTCTGTGTTTGGCGGTCCCGCCCTCTCTGCCAGGACTGGGTCCCCCGCGAAGCTTGGCCCTGGGTCCTGGGTGCGGCGGGGGCACCCCGCACCTCCCCTGCCCCTCCGCCCGCCCTGCTCTCCCTCCCCTCCCGGAGGGGGGCTGCTGCGGGGACAGTTGGAAACAGGTCAGGAAGCGGAAGGGAGAAACATACACTTTTATTTCAAAGTTTTATGTGAAAAAAATAAAATTTGCACTGCCAAAACTAGGACTAAAGCCTTAGCAGGTAAACCTTTGAGAGACCGTGAAAGCGAATCCTAAAACTTCCATGGTGAATTTTTCTGGAAAAATTTTTACAGAAACATATAAGATGACACACTCCGTCTTTGTCTTGATAAGACAGATTGATAGAAGTGAAGAAGAGATCACCCAGGTTTTTTCCCGTGCTCATATAAAACCCAGTACACTGGTGCACTATACTGGGGCCCCTAAACAAATACCTGTAGGAACCAGGCAGTTAATAGGATGAGAGCCAACTTCAGAGGACAGAGGCTAGTCTGTTCCAGCCAGTTTTTGCCAGGGAACATGGAACCATTGTGGCCAGCTGTGATTTTTCAAGAGAAGCTTTAAAAAATCCAGTTTGTGGGGTGCCTGGGTGGCTCAGTTGGTTAAGCGACTGCCTTCGGCTCAGGTCATGATCCTGGAGTCCCAGGATCGAGTCCCGCATCGGGCTCCCTGCTCAGCAGGGAGTCTGCTTCTCCCTCTGACCCTCCCCCCTTTCATGTGCTCTCTCTCTCCTCTCATCCTCTCTCTCAAATAAATAAATAAAATCTTAAAAAAAAAAATCCAGTTTGTGTGTCTGTATGAGAATGTGTACATGAAATCTGTCAGTTTTTAAATGTTGGCTTAATGTTTTCTAAAGCAGACCAAATAAAACTTATATCTCACCTCTGTTCTGGATTTAGAGAATCTATTCAGAATAAAGGGGATAAGAGTCAAATCAGTCAAGTAATAAGTACTTATGTTTAGGTTTTCCTAAGTACAGTAGCAAACATTGCCTCTCGTCCAAATGCAGTTATAATCTCCATATATATGCTAGCAATTCACAAATTAAGTTTTCTTTGATATAATTTGTATGGTTTGATCTCCTCTATCCTGCATCCCTTTTTTTATAAAGACCCATTTATTTTTTAAATTTTATTTATTTATTGGAGAGAGAGACAGAGATAGCGAGAGAGAGAGGAGCAGGGAGGAGAGAGGGTAGCAGGCTCCCCACTGAGCAGGGAGCCCGACGTGGGGCTCGATCCCAGGGCCCTGAGATCATGACCTGAGCTGAACACAGACGCTTAACCAATTGAGCCACCCAGGCGCCCCAAGACCCATTTATTTATTTTAGAGAGAGAGAGAGAGAAGGCAGTGGAAGGGGGCAGAGGGAGAGGGAGAGAAACAGATGCCCCGTTGAGCACAGAGCCCCAAGTGGGGCTCAATCCCATGACCGCAAGACCCCAAGATCATGACCTGAGCCAAAATCAAGAGTCAGAGGCTTAACCAACTGAGTCACCCAGCCGCCCCTCTCCTGCATCCCTTTTTCAATGTCAGATTGAAGTTTTGGTTTGCAGCATCCACAGGGCTGACTTTGTTGCTTACCACACCCCTAGCCCAGAAGGTCACGTCTGTCTTTCCTGTAGGAACATGCACACTTGTATCCAGTGTAGCAGGCTAGGGTGAGGGGGGAGACAGAGGAATAATAAGGGCTTTCCTCCAACTTCTACCTGGGGGTTTTCTAAGATACTGTTGTCAGAAAAGGAAACACAGCTTAAAGTTGCTGTATGGAAGGATCTCATCCTCCATGTGGCAAATTACTAATATGCCTGTTCAAATGAGGTTCCGTCCTTCTTGAAGATCAGGAACTTAAACCTACGCCTCTCTCTTGTAGATAATTGGAAATTCCTACCTGAAGAGATCGAACTTCCTGCCCCAAACTGCCACCAGCACCTCACTCCTTCCAGCTCCACCTTGGGAGGCAGCAGCCCGTCTTTCCACTGGAGGCTTAGAGAGCCAGCACCCCCACTCACCTTCTGAGGAGGGAAGGGCCACACAGGCAGCCAAGGCCACGAGAGCGAGTCCTGTCTGCTGCATTCCTGCCTGCCTCACCAGCCGGGGCTGCGCTGCAGCAGAGGCTGGAGGATCAGGAAATGAGGCTGGAGGTGGCCTTGGGAGCAGAGCATGTGGAGGAAAAGGAAGCAGGAAGCCCCGCCCCTGGAGGTGCTGGGGTACCCAGCTCATGTTTCTTTCCTTGAGACCAGGTTCTTTCTTAAGACCCAACCTGTCTGGTCTGGCAAGGTCAACAGTGTTAGACACCTGAGGGTCTGGCAACATCAGCAGGGATCTGGCAGTTGGTGAGGTCATTGTGAGTTGGGGGTGTGCATCAGAATCACTTGGGAACCATTAAAAAATAGTGATCTACTTGACTTCCTCCACAAACCTATACATCAGGATTTGGAGAGGGGGACCAGTCATTTGAATTATTTTGAAGCTCCATAGGTGATTCTGATGGACACCTCTATTGAGAACCACTGCCTAAAGGAATCAGAGTTTTTTTTTTTTTTTAAAGATTTTATTTATTTATTTGACAGAGAGAGAGACACAGCGAGAGAGCGAACACAAGCAGGGGGAGTGGGAGCGAACACTGAGCAGGGAGCTCGACGCGGGGCTCGATCCCAGGACCTGGAATCATGACCTGAGCCGAAGGCAGACGCTTAATGACTGAGCCACCCAGGCGCCCGAATCAGAGTTTTTTAAGTGGCTTGGTGAAACTAAGAGTTTCTGGTTTCGGGGACAAGGGTGACAAGTCATAAAAAAAACATTATCTGGTGGAAAGATATGGAAAAATTCAACCCCACTCTGGTCTTGGTTTACAGCCAAATTGTTTCCAGTGGAGCTGTTAGTCTATTTAGGAGGAAAGTAAGACAGGTAGAAAGGCTTCTTCCCTCTAGGCTTGCCTGGTAAAAATGAGAGGTCCAGAGTAGGTGTGAGCAGGCCTAAGGAGGTTCGGGTTCTAGTCCAGCTTTGCTGCGAATCAGCTTTGAGAATAAGACTATAGGTGGGTGAGGATAATTGGCTTCTAATCCCGCCTTTTTTACTAACTCGTTGCATAACTTCAGAGTTATGTACTTAACTTTTCTGTAAATAAGAAGTCAGGCTGGACAATGTCCAAAATCCTGCCATACTTCCTCTATAATTGCCCAGTTTAATGCAGTAGCGTTTGTCCATATGTGGCCCCTGGGCATTTGAAATGTGCTAGTCCAAATTCAGATGCACTGTGAGCACAAAATACACACCAAATTTCAAGGACTTAGTACAAAAAATATAAAATATTTCATAAATAATTTTCATATTGATTACATGCTGAAATGTAATTGGGTATAAATGTATTTGGATATATTGAGTTGAATAAAATACTATTAAAATTAACTTCACTTGTTTCTTTTTACTTTTTTCCTATAACTACTCAGAAAATTTTAAGTCACATATGTAGCTTATATTATATTTGCATTGGGCAGTTGCTTTGTAAGGTCAAGGGCTAGAGGTCAGAATTGTCCCTCCAGCTGTCAAGATGTACTTAAACAAGCTCCAATGTCACCATCAAGAACAACCATAAAAGAGGATGAAATCTTGCCATTTGCAATGACATGGATGGATCCAGAGGGTATAATGCTAAATGAAATAAATCAGTCAGAGAAAGACAAATACCATATGATTTCACTCATGTGTAGAATTTAAGAAATGAAACAAACAAAGAAAATAAGAGACAAACAAAAAAACCAGACTCTTAAAATATAGAGAACAAACTGGTGGTTACCAAAGGGGTGGTGGGTAAGGAGATGGGTGAAATAGGTGATGGGGATTAAGAGCACACTTACCATGATGAGCACTGAGTAATGTACAGAATTCTTGAGAAACATTCTGTACACCTGAGACTAATATAACACTGAAGGTTAATTATACTTCAATTTAAAAAATAAATAAAATTTTTTGAAAAGAAAGAGAAGCAAATTAAAAAGAAAAAGGACTGGAGTTATAGTAAACTAGGAAAAGGGAGCTTTGGAGTACGTGGGTCTAGGCAAAGATGACGGCCTGAATGACCCAGTCCTGCCGAGCAGCAGTTCCAGACTCTGCCACCAAGCAAGGGGACCCTTCCACAGGTCTAGGTAATAGAGCACAGAGAACCTGCGGAGGTGACCTGCTTCTCCACAGTAGAAAAAAAGCCTCTGTTCAGATAAAATGAAGGGTGACTATTGGATAACCCAGAGAGATTTTTAATCCAACAGGAAGGCTGGGCTCCATTTTTAGTCCAACAGGAAGGCTGGGCTCCATTTTAATCTAACAGGAAGGCTGGGCTCAATGTACTTACCCTTGTGTTCTTATTTGCTTCTCTATTTGATGGGACAGTTTCCATTTCACCACGTGCCTGCTCTTCTGGTAGGGAATGTCACCAAGGGCCTGCCAGGAAGAAGGCATAGGGACAGAAATGCAAACACTTGGACAACACTGGGGCTCCTCCTTGAGTTGTCTCAGGGGGTTAGCATTTTCCCTCTCCTTCCCACTTCTTCCTGGGGGGGGGGGCCACTGCAATGAGATGGTGGTATGGCAGAAAGGCATGAAATTACCACCATTATTAGAACGACAGCCTGGGGCAAGGCTGTTATGTCAGCCTGCTGTTAAAAGGCAAGCCTGACACCCACCAGCAGGAACCAATAAACCACTCGAAAACCTTATGCTGTACTGTTATGTAACGAGAATGAGAGGCATGCTGGGCAGACCAGTTTGGAGTGAGGGCAAATGGAAGGATGGAATTTTTGCCAAGCTACAGTTATGGGGTATGTATGTGTGTGACAGGATGTTCACTAGGCAGACACAGAACAGAATTAACTGGGAAGGAGCCTCAGAAGAGAGAGATCAGGGGCGCCTGGGTGGATCAGTCAGTTTAGCATCTGTCTTCGGCTCAGGCCACGATCCCAGGGTCCTGGGATCAAGTCCTGCTTTGGGCTCCCTGCTCACCGGGGAGTCTGCTTCTCCCTCTCCCCCTCCCCTTTGCCCCAGCGGGGAGTCTGCTTCTCCCTCTCCCTCTCCCCTCTGCCCGTCCCCTCTGCTCATGGTCTCCCTTTCTCATGCGATCTCTCTCTCTCTCTAATAAATAAATAAGATCTATTAAAAAAAAAGAGTGAGATCAGAACAACTTTGATTAATCAAATATTTTTATATGGGCTTGGAGCTTCTACAAAACCAAATGAGGAGAAGCCTGGGAAATGTATACCTTTAGGACCTAGGGGATAGTTAGAGGGTAGAGCCATAGAATGAAACAGTTTGAGGACAACCTAAAACTAAATATGGTTTTGTGTTTTCCATTGTGAAACATCCCTGGCTAAGGATGCCAGGATGCAAACTTTAAAAAAATTCTCTTTTAGGGCACCTGGGTGGCTCATTTGGTTAAGTGACTGCCTTTGGCTCAGGTCATGATCCTGGAGTCCTTGGATCAGGTCCCACATCAGGCTCCCTGCTGAACGAGGAGTCTGCTTCTCCCTCTGACCCTCTCCCCTCTCATGCTCTCTCTCCCTCAAATAAATAAATAAAATCTTAAAAAAAAAATTCTCTTATAAATTTTACCAGGAAAAAGCAAATCGTTTCACCTTAGAGAAAAGTAAAGTATAAACCTCAGACTTTCATAAAAATACTTGATACCATCCATGCTCTAGGTATAATGACCAGTGGATTAGGAGGATGAAGATTTCTAAACAGTAGCTTTCACAAAATAAAATTAAGCCAGTGAACTTCCCTTGAAGATATTTCTTGAAAATAAGTAGACAGATGGACTATTTTGAAAATGATGTCAGGGACACCTGGGTGGCTCAGCCAGTTAAGCGTCTGCCTTCAGCTCAGGTCATGATCCCAGGGTCCTGGGATGCAGCATTGCATCGGGTTCCCTGCTCAGTGGGGAGCCTGCTTCCCCCCCAGCCGCCTGTCGCTCCCCTGCTTATTTTCTCTCTCTCTCTGTCAAATAAATAAATAAAATCTTAAAAAAAAAAAAAAAAAACTGGGCTCCAAGTATTTCATGGCAGGCTCTGAGTTACTATGTTTAGTAATTGTATGCTATCTTTTCTGACTACAGAATATTAGGTCCATTTTAGAAAATTTGGAGCTTGTAAAAAAGTATAAGGAAGAAAAATGTTTAGATACCCAGAAATAAGCTTTCTTATGTTGGTGCATATCCTTCCAGTTTTCCATGAAGATCTAGTCATTCACACATTGGATAAACTTTTACCAGGACTCTCCTATGTGCAAGATGTTGTGTTAGACAGATGGCAAAGGGGCCATGGTCCCTAGCACAGGGAGGACCGGATTTTTTTTTTTTTTTAAATATTTTATTTATTTGACAGAGAGAGAGAGAGCAAGAGAGGGGACACAAGCAGGTGGAGTGGGAGAGGGAGAAGGAGGCTTCCCGCGGAGCAGGGGCCCGATGTGGGGCTCGATCCCAGGACCCTGGGATTATGACCCGAGCCGAAGGCAGACGTCCAACGACTGAGCCACCCAGGCGCCCCAGGGAGGACTGGATTATTAAGCAAGCCATAACAATAGTCTTTTAAGTGCCAATACAGGCAAGTGCTTAGGGTACTCAGAGCAGGGATGTTTTACCCAGTCTGGAAATGAACCAGCTTGAAAAGATGCTTTTTCTTTCCTTTTTTTTTTTTTTAAAGTAGGCTCCATGCCCAGGATGGAGCCCAGTGCAGGGCTTGAACTCATGACCCTGAGATCAAGACCTGAGCTGAGATCAAGAGTCAGACACTCAACCGACTGAACCACCCAGGCTTTTTAACTGTTGCATAGTTTAGTATTTCGTAATTCGGGGGTATTGTATTTTATTGAACCCACCTCTTATTACTGAACTTTTAGATTGTGGATTTTTTCCCCCACTATCATCAATAATTCCTCATTGGATCACTTCTATAATTCAAACCTTTATGCTGATTCTTCAGAATAAATTTTGAAAAGCAGGACTGCATAGCTAAAGGCTATAGTTATTTGAAAGGCTTTTGATACATACTCAGGCGAGGCTGAAAATTTTACCTACATGTTTTTCTCCAGTACTTTGTACAGTTTTCCAGTGTCCTGCAATGATAGC